CCCTAAACCCCGCCAAACCCTAAACCGGCAGTGTGTTGAGGTCGCAGGGGCATGCCCTGTACACCTCCTCCTGGACGGCTAGCAAGGCGTGCTCGGCCTTGCATCCAGTTGCGCAGAGCTAAGCGGGAAGCGGCTAGGGCCTTGATGATGGGTTTGTATACTCATAATTGGGGGTTTCGAAAAATAGGGGACCCTAATATAGCACCCAAATACTAGTATCCTTATTATAAGGACCCCAAAATAAGGTACCCCTAATTTTCGGAAACTCCCAATTACTGCATCAATCATTGTATACACTACTGGTACACGAGCTTAGTATGTTGCTGCAACATACCACAATGCTGCATGTTGCTCTTTCGCCGTCCTGCTGCCGGCAGTCCGACGTCCACTCCCAGCAGCGCTTCTTCTGTCAGATGCAGACGGCGGAAGTCACTGTGGACCAGGCGGAAGAGCTTCCATAGGGCGTAGGGCTTCGTGGTTGCTACAAGGGTTTCTGCGTGTGTGAGGGTTGCTTCAGACGGTTGTAATAAGGGTTCCTTTAAAGTTGTTTGTTTTAACTTGGACGTCCGGCTAGAAAAGGGCCCTTTCCACTCAGCATATTATAGGGGGAAAAATATTTTTCCCCTATAATATGTTTAGTGCATCTTTTTGGTATCCCTTCGTCACCCTTATAGCCCTTCCAAGCGGTCCCTGTTTGCAGAGGACCCGAAACTGTGGCCTCCGACCCGAAGCCCAACGCCGTGTAGAAAGGGCTCTGAACCAATACCTCTAAACCCTAAACCCTAAACCCTAAACTCTGAACCCTCTGCTTACAGAAGGCCGGAAACCTTTGGCAAAGGGCACTTTTTCTACAGAAGACCCCGAAACCTTTGGCTCTAGGTCCGAAACCCTAAGCCGTGTCCAAGCGGCCTCTTTGTACAGAAGACCCGACACTTTGGCCCCGAACCCGAAACAGTGTGCAGGCCAATTTTTGTGGCTGTAAGGCCTAAGCCCTAAACCCTAAACCCGATACCAAGGGCCAAACTTTGGCCCTAAACCCTAGTCCCTAAAACCCGAAAGCTAGACCCTAAACCCGCACAGAAAAGGCCACTACACTTAAAAAAAAGCCCTAAACCCTAAACTTAAGCCCTCATGTTTTGTAGAAGACCTCGTTTCTTCAGGCGCACCGTGGCTACTACGTCGCCGAAGACGACGTCGGGCTCAGGGCCTCAGCTTCTGGCGGGTCGTTTAGAGCGTTTTAGAGGGTTCCTAGAGGGTTTAGGGTTTAGCGTTTAGGGTTTAGGGTTCAGGGTTTAGGGGTCCAATACCCCTTAATTCAGGAATATACCTTAAATCATATTACCCCAAGGGTCCACATATACTACTATTATGGAATTAGGTCCCCAAAACCATAATAAGAATGGTCTTTGGGACCTAATTCCATAATGGTAGTATATGTGGACCCTCTGGGTTCGGGATCCCTACTATAAGTTAAGGTATATTCCTTAATTAAAGGATATTGGAGTCTCTGGGTTTACAGCAGGGCTTGAAGAGATTTGATGTTTTAGAGGTAACCTAATTTCTTATGGAGCTTTTGAAGTGCTTTTGCAAGGTTATTGCAGGGTTTAGGTAGAGGCTTAGAAGGGTTTTGCAGGCATCTTATAGGGTTTGCCCTTTGTGATTTCGCGTTTAGTAGAGGTGGCTCGGTCTGTGTTGTCTTTACAGGTGCACGGTAGACAGTGTATCGTATACGCACCTCGTTTATCGTAGATCCTGTTGTCAATGTCGTTTATCATATATCGTACATCTTATATCGCGTGCGGTATATGGTATATGGTTTCTGGCTAACGGTGTGGTATGGTATGGTGTGGTCTGGTGTCGTATGGTACGGCACGGCATCGCACGGCACGGTACGGCACGGTATGGGCTAGGCTGCGTGGCGCGAGAGCGGCATTTTCATTCTTAGGAGTCCTAAGTACCACTTGCAGATCCCAGCCGCATGTCGCTGGCACTCAGGTTCAACTCTTGCAACCCTCTCTTCATCCGCAACAAGCCGGACTGCAGCGCTCGCTGTCGAAATGCTTCGGCCTTCGGTTCTTTAGGTTTAGGGTTTCGGGTTTAGGGTTTAGGGAGCTTCATGCAGCCATCTCTTCCCCGCCGCCAGGATTCGAAGGGACGATACGTTGGTCAGAGCTGCTACGGGTCCGGGCCCCTGAAAGATACAGGTGGGAGAATACCCATAGGCCCTAAAGTAGTTCCTTTTTGGGGGTTCATATATAGAATCCTATAAGGTAACCCCAAGAAGGAACTACTATGGGCCCTATGGGTAGCTGCTGTCCGTTGTGTTTTCCAGGTACGTCTCCTTCGAGCGGTTCGTGGATGCCGCAAACGAGATCAACCAGGCATGCCGCGGGCCGAATCCTGTCGATATCGTTTCTAAACTGAAGTACGTGCGCATGCAAAGACTTGCATGCACGCACCCACATAAACGTACATACATCTTGCCTACAGGTGGTATGTATATATCTATGTACATACACATACACACACACACATGCACAACCACATCACGCACAGACATGCACACATACACACACGCACACTCAGAGAGGGACACACACACACACACACTTAGAAA